AGGCACTTTGGGGATGCTTAACAAGGTCAGTGTCTAAGGGCCGAATAAATATGCAGGGAAACTCTCTGTCCAGAGCAGTTCAGGGGCACAGAGCAGTACGGGCGAGAGGAGCAGCCCTCCACCTGATATTCCTGAGTTCAGGCCCAGGAATGAACCAGGTCGTGGACGGGGAGGACAGGCACCAGACAGGCACCGGGAATCTAGGAACCCAAACCCATTGTCGTCCAGTCGGCTGCGACTCAAAGCGACCCTGTAGGACAGAGTAGAAGTGCTCCATAGGGTTACCAAGGCAGTAAATCTTTATGGAAGCAGACTGCCACATCTTTCTCCCTCCGAGAGGTGGGTTAGAACCGCCATCGTTCAGTTAGGAGCCGAGCGCTTAATCCCTGCACCCCCAGAGCGCAGATAAAGGAAACTCGTGATGGGACGAGGCTGGGCTGAAGAGAAACAGATTGAGGACGAGCTGTAAAGGGAGTGGTCCACTGGCCGGGGCGGGGGGCCGGGGAGGAAAAGGGTGGGAAGACCGAGATGGGAGGGCAATGTGAGAAGAAAAGCAGGCTGGGGAAAGAGGGGACTGGAATGCATAAGATACTTGGGGAAAGAGGAAGTGTTGGAGGAGGGAGGGAAACAAGAGCGAGGAATTGGGGATGCAGCGGAGACCGGTGGGGGTGGGGAGCGGGGAAGGCAGCGAGCTTGAAGAGAGCAGATGGAGGCGAAATGAAGCTGCTAAAGCCAGCGTCGGAAGAGGCTGGACCCGGCTGCGAGAGAGGCTGGGGCCTGCATGGGAGCGCGGCGTCTTTCAGCATCCCTCTAGACTCTAAAGACGTGTGGCCTTTTTCTGACCTCGAGGGTCTGGAACAGACCCGCTGCCTTTGTGGAGGCCCTGCGCCTGACGCTTCGCGAGGCTTCACTGGCTCTGGGCTGTCCCCGGAGGGCAGCACACGGCGGGCCTGGCGATTGGGGCCCAGGAAGGATGGTACCACCGATCTGAGCCAGCTCGCAGCCTGCGGCAGAGGCGCCTGCTGCAAGCCGTCTCTGGGAGGCGCCGCCGCTGCTTCCTCCCTCCCGGGCTCGGAGAAAAGTGGAGGCGCTGGCGAGGACCGAGGGCGGGAGGGATGCTGCAGGGGGACCGAGCCTCTGCGAGGACGAGGAGGGGCTCGGAGCAGCGGGCGACCCCTTCCTCCGTCGCGGCTGGGCGGCCGCGCCCGCCCTCTCCGACCCCACGCCCGAGGCCCTCGCTGCGAGCTCCACCAGGCAACCCCGCGCGCGTCCCGCGGGGGCGCTGCGTCTTCCTGCCACACCGGCGCGCAGCGGCCCCTCTCCCCCTACACCTCCTGCGGGCACCGCCCGGCCTCTCCTCCCACCGTCGGTCCCCTCCCCTCCCAGCTAGGGGCGGGAGGGGGCGTGGCACGACTGGGGTTTGTGTGGCTGGGACCCGGCTCCTCGCACTCGGAGTCCGCGCGAGGAGCCGGGCCCCGGCCGCTGTCCAGCCGCGCCGTGCCTCTCGCGCCCCGAGCCGCCGCCTCTTCGCGAGACGCAGTCTCTTGCTAGCCATGGATACTCCCAGGGTCCTACTCTCGGCTGTCTTCCTCATCAGTTTCCTGTGGGATTTGCCCGGTTTCCAGCAGGCTTCCATCATCTCCTCCTCCTCGTCGTCGTCCGCTGAGCTGGGCTCCGCCAAGGACGTGCGAAGCCGCAAGGAGGGGAAGGTGCCTCGGGCGCCGAGAGAGAGTGCCGCGGAGCGGGAGCCCCGGCGGCAGCCACACGAGTTCCAGGCGCAGGAGCCGCCGGGCAGGGGCCCGCGGGTAGTGCCCCACGAGTACATGCTGTCAATCTACAGGACGTATTCCATCGCCGAGAAGCTGGGCATCAACGCTAGCTTTTTCCAGTCTTCCAAGTCGGCGAATACGATCACTAGCTTTGTTGACAGGGGACTAGGTAAGTGGCAGAGAAGACGCCGGACTCCCTTCGCTCTGGAGGTCGGCAGCCAGGGCGCTGCTCGGCCCTGGCAGGAGGCTGGATTTGTGAAATTCCCTTCCCACTCTGTGCACCGCTCTTTCCATTGTTTATCTTAAACTCGAGTAACTTTCTGAATGCGACTGCGGATTTTATTCCCGTCTGCAATCCTCCCTATCACCCTCGCTTCCTCCTTTCTGCCTGCCTCCCTTCTTTCTTCCTCTTGTCTTTTGCAGAGGGCGGCGTGGTGGCCGCTTCTTTGGTGGATGGTGTAGGAAGCGTGGAGGACGGGAGGTGGCAGACAGAGAGGAATCCGGGCGCCCCCGGGAGCAACCTGCGGCGGGGACTGACAGAACCTGGGGGTCCCGGGCTGGGCAGGTTGCGCGGGGCAAGGCCTGAGTTACGCGGGTGGACAGGAGTGGATGGGGTCCCGGGCGTGCGTGAGCGTTGGAAAACCTCCGTCACTGGTCCGCTCGGGGGGGGAGGGGGCCGCGGACCGGGCAGAAGCGAATCCCGCGGTTGGAGGAGCGTCTGCGAGCGGCGGGGCAGAGTCCTGGTCCAGCGGCCTCGCTGTTTCTTCGCGCGGTCACCGCGCAGGGTGCAGAGCTTGTCCGCCCGGCAGGAGCCCCGCGCTCTTGAACTCATCCCAGGCGCGTCCAGGTCCCGGCATCTCGGAGGCCGCAGCTGCAGTGGTTTCTGCAGTGGCAGCACCTGGTGGGGCGGGCGGGGCTGGGGCGGCCAAGGTTTGGATGTTTGCTGGTAGGTACTTAACCCTCCTGGGCGCATGGCTGTGCGCATCCACTTTTTCAGTCCCTCAGCGCTCCTCTCCCTGCGCTTCTACCCGAGTGCTGGTGCATGTGTGAGCGTCTACGGACCCCCACGCTTTCTCTCCTTGTCCCCGGCGTTGGTCCGCATGCAGCATGGACAGTGAGAAAGCCTAGCGGCCCTCCTGGTCCCAAAAATTGGCGAGAGATCCACAGGCGTCGCAAACTCAACTCGTATAGAAAGGCAATAACGTGGAAGGAAAGACGCAAAATGAAGAGGGAAGAAGATAAGAGAGAAAGGGGCAGAGGAGAAGAAGGAGAGCAGAAGAAAGGAAAGGGGGATATAAAGAGAACTAGGCTGGTAGTCACTCCTCCGTCCTCCCAGACCTAGCCCCACGGATTTGGCGGGTCCCCCGCCACCGGCTTTCAGATCAGTGAAAATGAGGTCGCCCACAAGCCCTCGAGCGCTGGGGCTCAGGCTGAGGGGCTGCGTCCCCCGGCTGCCTTGGGCGCTCACACGTTCTTGAAGCTTCAGCGCAAGTTAACGGTCCCAGCTCCTGGCCTCCTTCCTGCAAGCAGCCTTCCTTGCGGACGAGGGTCCTGCCCACTCCGGGTTAGCGGCTGCAGTCGGAGGTCAGCGAGGTTCATGAGCTGCTGAAAGGTCCGGAGGGCAAATTAACGCCGGGTACTTTGTGGGATTTTAGGACTACTGAAGTCACCTTTGCAAAGACACGTGGCTTCTTCGTAGCGCTGCAAGTGTGTTCCTGCCTTCCGGGCCACCCGCGCAGCTCGACGCACACCCCAACCCTACCTCGGTTGCACACCCCTCTGGTCCTCTGTTTATTCTCAAGAACCTTCTTCCCAAGAAGAGACTTAAGACTCTGAGAAAACTGCTCAAGAGGCCCTCCCTCACGGGAAGAAATCCCGGAGGCCCAGGCTGTCCTGCGGTTGGGTGCGCATTTTCTTTTCCCAAAGGGAAATGGCCAGAAACTCCTCCCCTCCCCCAAGCAGGCACCCCCATGCGTTCACTGCTCCCTGAGTGTTTGTAACAGGACCAAAGGACCCTGAGGGCTGTTCTGAGGTGTATATGGAAACTTGCTGGGTATAGGCGAGGGTAGGAGGGGTCTTTGGGGGCTCCAGGTCCGGCAGAGAAGCGGGCTTGCTTCACCCTTACTTGCCCAGCAGCCTTCCTCTGGGCGCTGCGCTGTGCGCCCCGGGGCGCCCGACGTAGTTGAGGGACTGGCTGCGCTCCCAGGCTGGGGCGGGGCAGGGGTGCTGCTCTGTTTCGGAGCCAAGGTCTCCAGGCCAGCCGACTGTGTGCCAGACGTCCGGCTTCCACCCCAGAATGCTGTTGTCCAGTAGGACTGAGCACAGTGGCACATCGGGAGGGCAACAGCCATGAACACCCGGACCGTAGCTTCCAGACGCGGTCTCCTCCCTGTCCCCAGATTCCCAGAAAACGCGAAGAAACGCAGTTAGTTGTCTGGGAAGCGGTGCAGCTCAGAGCACGCCACGCGGGGGCGAAGGAGTGCGGAGCCGCGGGCCGAGGGGGCGCGCAGGGGAGGGGGCGAGTTGTCGGCTGCAGCCCAGCTTGATGAAGGCAAAGCCTCACTTTCCCTCTCACTGATTTTGATTTGATGTGTCACCGGCGGTGACCTCGGGCTGGACCTTCCGGGGCTTGCTTAGCATCGGGCCTCTGATTGGAGTGTTTCAACTCAGCGATCTAATTGAGGGTTCATGTCATAACACATCAAACGGTGTCTAGTCTCCCGTGATGGAAGGGACCCGCCAGCCGCGCATCACCGACTGCAGGCGAGGACTTCCGCCCCTCTCACAAGGGGGCTCTGAACCGCGCCAAACCCCCCCAACAGTCACCCGTCCCCCCTCCCGCGGTGTTGTGGGGTTACAACGAAAGAGCAGGGGCCAGTCCGTTGCGGGGTCAACTTCGATAACTTGGGGGCTTTGCCTTGGGAGTGTTTAAATCGCCGTCGAGTGTGGCAGGCTTGGCTTAGTGGAGCGGGGGTTCCTCAGAGAACAGAGCAAAGAAAAAGAAAAGATCCTGAAGCCGGCTTCATGAGGCCTGAGCGACTTATGCATACACCCAAACCAAACTCACTGCCCTCAACTTATAGCGACCCCTCCTTGGGTTTCCGAGACAGTATCACTACAGAAGTAGATTGCCCCATCTTCCTTCTGAGGAGTGGCTGGTGGGTTTGAACCGCCAGCCTTCTGGTCAGCAGTCAAATGCCTTAGACACCAAGCCACCAGAACTCCCCTAACTTATGCATACACCAAACAATCAATCAAACAAACAAAAACCCCAAACTCACTGCCATTGAGTGGATTTCTACCCATTGCGATCTCCATTGGGTTGCCAAGGCTGTAAATCTTTATGGAAGTAGATTGCCTCATCTTCCTACCAGCTGGTAGGTTTGAACCGCTGACCTGGTGAGCAGCCAAGCCTTTCTCACTTTGGAAAAGGTAAACCTCAAGGCTGTGACTCAGGGTGAAACGTGGTGATAAACTCGCCCAGAATGAATGAAGAGTGCTTTTGGTCTATAAAGGCAGCATGTTTCCTGTCATCCCACACCCTGCCAGGAGGAAACATTTTTTGCAAGTTTTTGTTTTTAAATGTCCTTTGAATTTGATTTCTCAACATCTAAGTTATAGATGTTATAGTTATAATAAAAGTCATGCCAAGTACTGTGTATGAATTACCTCCTTTAATTCTCCCAACAACAATTTGGGAAGGGGCTATAATCACCCTGTTTTACAGGTGAATTAAGGAAGACACAGAGGAGAAGCAAGTGGTTCAAGTATTCACAGCTAGTGAGAGGAACCCTGCATGCTGAGGGGGTTCTAAGTGTTGACAACAAGAAGCAGAAGCCCAAGAATGTGATAGCTTTCTTCCCTAACACTCCTCTATAGTCTGTTAAGACCCAGTGATTGGAGAAAGAAGAGTTTGAATGCGAGGTTGGATTAAGGGATGTGACTCTGCGCTGTGCCTGGCTTTCTCCTTCTCATGTTAGCTGCGGGAGCTGTGGTAGCGTAGTGCCTAAGGCACTTGACTGCTAACCAGAAGGCTGACGGTTGAAACCCACCAGCCACTCCTCAGAAGGAAGATGGGGCAACCTACTTCTGTAGTGATAGTGCCTCGGAAACCCAAGGAGGGGTCACTATGAGTCGGTCCGACTCGACAGCACACAACAACAACACAAACCACTACTCGTGATCTTTTGCAACACCCTGTATTTTAAAAGGTACTTTACATGTACCTTTGAATCCATGACGATGAGAAAATGTGTGCGTGTTGGTCCAGTCTCAGACCAGGATGGATGTAGAAAAAGTACAGTTAGCCATGAAGTAACCCATTAAAAGGTCACTCCTGTTGGGGCCCTGGACCCCCCAGCCCTGGGGCCTAGGAAGGACAAGCAATTAGAACTATGAATTCAACATGGCCAGCGATAATGGCGGAGGAAGGACTGAGAGAAACAAAACTCAGACTTTCAGTTTAAGTAATCTGAAGTGCCACGTAACTCCAACAAGGGGGGGGGACCCCAAGGATGATGGAACCAGTGAATTTAAGAATATTGCTAGGAGAATTAAGTTCCCAGATGATTTTGAAATAATCCTCTTTAGAATTGCTGTTGTCGTTACAATGGCACTTTAGAAAGGAGGCAGTAGGAAACAAATAAAAACCAAACGAGATGGGAACATCCTTGAGGAACTGGAACCCCTGGAAGTGACTCTCTGACACTTTGCTGCAGAGAGTTTGTTGGCTTCTTGATTTACCTTCTAGGTCACGATTATCACCAGGCAGGGCAGGACAATTCTTGGAATAGCGGGCCTTCGGAAAGTTGCATAGTTCCTTCACGATTGAAGTGCGTCTGGTACAGTCTGTTTGTGCAAAACAGCGGCTTTCTGGGTGGACTCGGGCCGCAGAGTGGCGTAATCAACGCAGCAACGCTGTGCCGGGACCCTGTTGTCGTTGGCAAACGGAAAATGAAATAGAAGCAGGGAAGTATTTTAATGGGGATGGAGGGAATTCACAACTGTTAATTATTTGGTGACCTTGTATTCGATTTGTTTGAGTCCCTTATAAAAACACTAATGCAGACCAGACGGCCAAATGAGGAAGCCGGGCAGAAGGTTCCAATCTAGGCTTTATTTCCCCGGAAAGAGGGAACAGCCTTGGAAAAGGCTTGCTGTGCGTTCAAG